CAGTTAGACGTTGCTATTGGCTTGTTTCTATCTGATGGTTATATTCGTTATTTGTAAGGTGCAATAAAAACTCCACCTGGAGTCCCTCCGGGGGCTACTGCCGGTCCCAAGCCCGGGTAAAGGAGAAAGGTTGGGCATGGAGTTAGCGACCTCGTCCCATATAAAACCAACTCGCTAAAAAACGCTAACCAGAAAAAAAATGTTCAAACCTTTTAAACTCCGCCCTGGGGGTTAGGTCTTCATTGAGAAGAGCTAAGACACCTCATGATGAAAGCCGAGTTCCTTCGGAGGTCACGAGGCTGATGCTCCTTCTGACAACCAGAGCAACCAATAATTTAGGTAAATGAAATGCTCGTACAATGTGGGAGACCGAGAGAGTCTTCCAAATTTCTGCTGCTGCAAGGTACAATAAAATAATTTTTTTAGTTTCATGTGTGCGCTGTCATGCAGTCATCAAAAATTCATTCGTACATATAAGAAGAAGTGATTGAAAGGGATGAGGTGTATTCTGGTCAAACAAAATCTTATACAAGTTAGCTTCTAAAGTGTTGAAATAGCTACTAAAACTGATCTTAGATTAAGGGTTCCATTGAAAAGAACTTATCCATTAATCGAATTAGCTTCACTATAACAAATAAACTATTATCAGTCAAAAAAACTTAACAATCTCCACAACCCCTCAAACTCATAATTATCATATGTTCACTGGTGAATAGCTTCGTGAGAGAATTCTCGGAGTCCTAGTGACAACCCGTAACCAGTGGAGCTAATTAGTGTCGGGTAGAAACAGGTGTCTACCTCAGTACAATGGAAGATGGTCACGCAACTTCGTGGATTGGTTGAAGTTAGACTATAACACCATTAGATGCCGGCTCAGTGGTCCAGTAGGTTAAGCGTTCGCACGCAAGACTGAAGGCTCTGATTTCGAATCCCACGAGCGGGATCGTGGATGCGTACTGTCAAGTAGAAGTCTCCAAATAGGACGAAACGGCCGTCCAGTGCTTCCATGTTTTCAATGATGGTCTAACATCAACAACCACTCTTGGAATACTGCTGGTCCCATGTTCAGATGAACAAGAAAGGTTGTGTTTGAAGTGATCATCCCACTTTCTTAAAATTTGCCTCGCTAAAAATACGCCAAATTGGAAATACAACATTAAGGTCATTTCATCCTTGTCGCATACTGGGGAACTATTTATTGAAATAGTTCGAAATAGTGTTTTTCAAACTATACAGTACTTCTAAATATTAAATTAATGTATTCATTTTCTCCTCATGAACAGAACAATATGCAAAATTGCATCAGCATGGAGCTTAACAAAGTAGTGTAGTGATGCTAAAAATGGCAGCTGGAGCTTACCACAGCTAATTGTAGATAGATATGCTTCGGCGACACATCACTCTTATCATAAATGGAGAAGTGTTATCTAGGTTACATACAATAGTAAACTTAAGACTTAGGTACTCTTACGACTTGTCGTCTACAGAATAGGTATGGAAACAAACCTCCAAGTCTTAACATCTTATAGATTGCATAACTTCAAACCTTTATAACAACAAGTCACATATTTTGATGTATAAAGTTTGTGTTTGACCACTCCTAGAATACGGCACATTTATCCTTAGTTGTGTGTGAATAAAGAATAAATTAAGGTTGGAATCAGTACAGAGACGATTTACACTTTGAATTCTTGGAACTCATTGTACCTTAACTTATAATTCTAGATATAATGAACTTGGGCTAGACCCTTTATAGAAAAGGAAACTCAAACTAAATCCAATCTTTGCTCCTCTGAAAATGCATTAAATGTTCTAGTCACCTGTGAATGCACCTCATTCCACAAGTTAGATTATAAGAACTTTAAATGTTTAACTATTCTTATTAGCGAATTCCCTAAGTAAAGTCACCTACCTGCTGATACTTTACATTAACACCGTCTCTGGCAACCTTAATTAATCTGAATAACATTTGACATGAGCAGTATATCACTGAGTCATATGACATATACATTATGGTAGAGTTGATTGACATATTTTAATAAGTATCACTTTGTTGTTCCATACTCTCTGTTTCCATTTTACTTTCTCTAGTTGTAGATAATTATCATTCATTCGATCTGGCACAGGAAATGATCTTAATTACATCGTTCATAAATCAACAGGCTGTCCATTTAAGAAGAATTGAAAGTCTCCGACTGATACATTACATTGCTGCAAAATACATGTTATAAATGGATTAGTTGAAGTTAGACATTAACACCGTTGAATGCCGGCTCAGTGATCTAGAGATTAAACGTTCTCACGCAGTACTGATAGATCTTAGGTTCGAATCTCACGAGGCGGGATTGTGGAAGTGAATTGCCAAGGAGGAATCCCGTAATAAAACGAAACAGCCATCTAATGCTTCCAGGTTGTCTAGCTTCAATTAAATCATGATCTCAACCATTAAACTTACTATAATATTCACAAAACCCCTTCTGATAAATGTACTACTCAAATAAGTTTTGAACTAGTAAACTTAAGACATTCTTATATTTACATGCTTGTTCTTCATAATTATTGTTCGTTTTATATCGAATATTACTGATGAATGCACTACTGACATGTTGTCCACTTAATTAATTTGATAAGCAGAATAAAATGAATTCAAAACTTTTGATCGGCTATATTATGTTCGTTAACTTGAATGCTACTACTTTTTCGTCTTACTCGGAACGGAACGAAGAATCAAGGATTCAGAGACTCGATAAGCTATACTGATCCGTTTTCCCCGACTTAACTAACTCGATCCAGAAGTCTTCGTAAGATGTAGAAAGTGTATTCTACCGACAACCAGAAGATACCAGGTCCATCAAGCACACAAATCAAGCGTATTAATACAAAATACATATAATCGATATTGCCATGCAAGTTTTTAAGCATTTAATCAATACGTTCGTCAATCGACTATGTGCGTGGATGGTAAGAAATGTTCAAGCATACATCTGCATACAAGCTCCACAAAGATAAAATTACAAAATATGAGTTTTTGGGATCTAACGTCCCCAACGCTCCTCCCCTTTTTAGTAGCGTGAGTTCCTGGGGTCGACCTGTATCTTGACTGTTGCTCGCCGCTGTCAGAAAGGCCACCGTCTGGAACGTGTTTCAGCTTGTTGTTGAGGTTTTTCTTGTGGTGGAGATGCCGGTAGATTGAATGTGTCTAGCAGGATATCAAGGGGAATATTTGCTTCGGTTGATGGGTGGTCTCGCGCTAGCCGTTTGAGCAACTGATTCCGATGGCGTCGCCACCTGTCGCTGCATACCTCAACTTCATACATGCCTTGGCCAACTCTTCTGACCACTCGTGCTTCCGTCCATGGACCATGGGTTGGTCTGTAGTCACAGGCAAACACAGGACATCCCACTTCGTACGTGGGGATCTAACGTCCCCAACAGGCTACTTTTAAAAATTGAGTCTATTTGCATATGATAAAAAACTTTCAAATAGAATGGTCAGATTTCTGCTAACACAATATAAGGTATATGTTTTCAAAAGGAGATTTTGTGGAGATTGTAGCAATTTTAATAGTTGAATTCATGAGCCAATCGAAGCTAGACAACCATGGAAAACTTGGAATTATTGGACGGCCGTTTCGTCCTATTGTGGGACTCCTCAGCAGTGGGCATCCATGATCCCGCTCGCGGAATCCGAACTCAGAGTCTTCAGCTTTGTATTAGCATAAGATATCTCAGTAATACTGATCTATCATCCAACTAAACGGTTTCGAACTTAGGATCTTCATAATCTCAACTACTTCACACTACACTACTTAGCTGAAATCTAACGTTGTATATGTTTGAATTAAATCGATTCACATTATTGCGCAACCAACTATTTCACACCCGAACTGATTGGAATCCGATGATTAAAATTTTATTATGTTTAACCATTAACCTTTAGAATGACCTTGGTTTTTAATAATTTGTCTGTTTAACTAAATTTTACCAAAGTTTCTGTATTTCATTTCAACGATATGAATAACAATCCTGGTTGTGAGTATTTTTATCAGCCTAACTAGCTTACCCAATATACTTTATATATGTACATAATGGTAGGTAATGAAGAAACTGATACATTGAATCTGGCAAATAACAAATGCGCATGACTGACCAGGAAATGGTATGTATATCTAATGAATGGCACATAATTTAGTGATGACTTGATTATATATAGATATATGTTTTTCATTCAGTTGGTCATTAAGCATTCTTTCTCACTTGAATATCCGATTGCACTCGTCAGTCAGTCAGTAACAACACGGAAGTTCGTACGTTCGCATTGTGATATCACATTAGCACAGAAATACAATTGTCGATTCAAATCCCATAGTGGTAGAGATAGTAAGAGTATAAGCAGTAATCATAAAAATTAGGGTTTGAAGATGTTATTCAACGAGTATAATCCAGTGAAATAAATTTAGAAAGAGACAAAAAGAAAGGGACATGAAGAGTTCTCAAGATTAGAATTTGTGAGAACACAAAGAGTGGATGCACGTGCATCATTATAAACAATTTTGAGCCATGTCATCCAAGGTCTCTAACCATCGTCTCGCCGATCCCAACCAGGTAGTCTACACCTACCAGCATGGCTCAGTCCACTTCTCAATGACTTCATAGATTTGTGCCATGTTTTGATATGGTCGCCCCTAGCTTTCTTCCAACCTACTCTTTCTCCATAAAACATCGCACGTCGGGGCAGTCGATGGTTGAGCATACGTAACATGTGCCCCGGACATCTCAACTGACGACGTTTCACTACATCATCGATTGATTTACCATGCTTAGCCAATACCCGTTTCCTAACAACTGGATTACTTACTCGATGGTCCCTGGGATATATGAGCAATGTTTCGAAGACACCTATGGTCGGATACTAGTAGCCTATGAATCTCCTCTACTCTTATCAACCATGCTTCACTGCCATAAAGTAGGACGGAACAATGTACTGCACAATAAACTTGTAAAGAGTATCAATGAGTATCAGTATTGTCACTTGGTTACCATGTGTCACAAAAAGAAATAAATGATCAGTATCATCACAAAAATATACATAATTATATAAATTCTTAGTTTTTTTTTAGGGGGGTGGGGCGCAAATTCACTTTGAAAATTATGCGGTTAATTTAAAAATTTGCTCAAATCAATTTTCATATTACACTTTTACTCAATTTCTTTCCTCTCTCTTTTTTTCTTTCTTCCTTTCTTTTCTTTTCTTTTCGTAACAAGTTGAACATCAACATAAACAGAACAGTAAATAAAACATTATCAATCAACCAATCAATCAATCAATGTATTTTGACTTTAATAAAGAAATGTGAAAAAGAAAAGAAAAAGAAAAACAAAAGAGAGAAAAGTGACAAAAAGGAAAAAAATCGACATGACCTTTTCATTTATATTCAACAATATATACCTCAGTGTCTATTCTCTGGCTTGTAATAACAGTAATAGTAATAATAAGAATGATATATGTAACTTTAGAAATTGTACTATATTGTAAAATTTCGCAGTATAATGACTAGTTACAAACGTGTGTTTATGGGTGTGTGTGTGTGTGTGTGTGAAAGAGTGACAGGGAAGGGTTGATGAAAGAGACAAAGAAGATATTATAAAGAATGAATTAGTTGATCATAGATAATGATAGATGTTTACATATATTTATGAATCAGTTAATCAGTTAGTAACAATGTAGAACTTTGTATGTACGTACATCGGTTTGAGTTGTCATACCACATTAGCATAGAGATACAATTGTCAATTCAAATCTCATAATGATAGAAATAGTAAAAGTATAAACAGTCATCAGAAAGATTAAGGTGTGAAGATATTATTCAAAGAGTATAATCTAATGAAATAAATATAGAGAAAAGAATTTAGGAGAACATAAAGATTGAATGTATCTATGCAATTGTAAATGATTTCGCTTCATATTATTTAAAGTTTCTAACCATCTTGAATAGGATTGGTAAAGCAAGGATTGCATTCCTACAATTGAAGAACATATGGAACTCAAAACAACTGTCTGTCAACCAATATCAAAGTCACAATCTTCAATACCAACGTCAAGGCAATTCTACTATACGGAGCTGAAACCTGGAGAACTACAACAACCATCATCAAGAAGGTGAAAGTATTCATAACTAGTTTTCTACGCAAGATACTCAACATCCATTGACCGGATACCATCAGCAACAGCCTTCTCTGGGAGAGAACAAACCAACTTCCAGTTGAAGAAGAAATTAGGAAAAGACGATGGAAATGGATAAGACATACATTATACAAATCACTAAACTGCATCACGATACAAACACTAATTTGGAATCCTGAAATGGAAGAGGAAAAAAGGAATGCCAAAGAACACATTACATCGAGAAATAGAATCAAATATGAAAAAGATGAATAACAATTGAAAAGAGCTAGAAAGGATTTCTCAGAATAGATTTAGATGAAGAATATTGATGAGAGGCTTATGCTCCTTCACGAGAAAAAAGAAACCCAGGCATTATGTAATCAATCAAGACAGGATTGAATAACAAGTACTAGTAGGTGACCTATTCAAACATCTTTATGAATAATTTTTTTTTCTTTATAAAATAGAATAAACAATAGAAAAAAAAATCAATATGTAATCATTTCCTTAATGATTACATAATCAATTTTTTTATTGATTAATACAACATTTATATAAGGCACAATGTGTATATAAATGTTTAATATATAATCGATAAATACGATTACCCCAAAATCCATATAGAATTGTATCTAATATTGCACTAGAATAAGAAAATATACTTGTATATTGTAACCATGTATATAAATAAGATTGATATTGATTTTTATAATAAGTATAATATTGTAACCATTGTATAATTAATATAAATGATCTTGGTCCACGACATATAATAAATAATAATAATAATATAATTAATATACGTAATGTACGTTTATGTTGTCGTCTTAATACTTGTATTAATATAGATTCATCAGTAGTAGATTTTGTATGCAATAAATCTGTTGTACGTGATTGAAATAATAAATTCAATATATCATTACTACTTTTACGACGTTTTTGTATTGTATACATTGTAGATAATTTATTATTTGATTCATTGAATCGATAGGATGATGATGTTGTTGTTGTGGTGGTGGTGGTGGTGGATGATGATGATGGTGGTGGTGGTGGTAGTGAAGTTCCTGTTGATGTTGTCAGTTGACAATTATTATGAGTAGTATTATTAGTAGTAGTAGTAGTCAATAATCTTTTAGATGTTAATGTTATATTAGAATTATTCTCATACAATTCATTATAGGATTGAATAATTGAAATACTATTTCTTCGTTCATTAAATAAATATTTTTGATTATTATCAATACTACTATTATTTCTATGATATAATGATGAATTAGTTGTCATGGTACTAATAGTAGGAGGAGGAGGAGGAAGAGGGGGAGGAGGAGTATTTGGTAAATTTTTAATCGATGAATATTGAAAACTATTCTCATTTAAATCAATAAAAGGAACTAAAAGTGTATTTTGTTTTTGATTTTTTAAATTCGATATTGATTGTTTAGTTTCTAAGTGATCATTTATAGATTTATTGATTAATGTACTATACTCCTTAGATGTATTATCATTATTATTATTATTAGTAGTAGTAGTAGTAGTATTGTTGTCGTCGTCAAAATTAATTCGAATATCTTGATTACTACTTTCAAGTACACGTAATAATGGTATTGGAAAATTAATAGTTGTTGTAGTTAATTTTCTTTGACTTGGTGAATTAATTGATGAAATCGATGTACCAGATATAAATGATGATTTACTAGTATTACTTGATTGTCTAGAGAAAAATCGTTTATCTCTTGATGAGACCTATAGATGAAAAAAAAAATAAAACCTCAAGTGAAATCATTTGAAAATATTGATTGTAACGATTGAATCAGTTATATATTACTTAGTTAGTCAGTTAGCTAGTTGCTTAGTTACTTAGTTACTTACTTGGTTACTTTCTTACTTAGTTACTTACTTACTTGGTCATTTACTTAGTTACTTGGTTACTTAGTTAGTTACTTAGTTATTTAGTTTAACGAGGACAAACCTAAAGTAACAGGACGAAAAACAAATGTCTGGCGCTTTAACCAGGTTAGTGGACACGGAAAGTCTACCTAGGTGAGTTGGAAAACCGTCATTCCAAAACAATGGTATACATGACCTCCAGTATCCTGAAGGGACAAATGGCGTATGAACGAATCGTTAGTCATCGGTTACTATGGGACTCGATATGTGGCCCTCTAAAAAAAACCCACCTGTTTTGGTTTAGTTATATTTTATACTCATTGGTAATAGAATGAAATGAACTATTATGCAATATCAGTATAGGGTTTTTTATTGAGATCATGAACGGATTAATGTTAGATCACTGTTGGAAACTTGGAAGTATTGGACAGCCGTTTCGTCCTATTGTGAAACTCCTCAACAGTATGCATCCATAATCCCATTCACGGGATTCGAACCCAGAGCTTTCAGTGTCGCACATGTAAACACTTAATCAACTAATTCTTTTAGTTGGCAAATAGTTATTTCACTTATATTTTTTTTTGATTATTTACATTATAAATGAATTAATTAAATAAATAAAAAGGAATAATAAAATACCAAATACAAAATGTACTTTATAAAGTTCATAATGAAAAATAATAAGATAAGATAAATGTGTACATCGCCATATTGACTTATAATAGTAAAGAAGACGAAGAAGGAGAATAGGAGGAGGAAGAAGAAGAAGAATAGAACAATTTGTATGTATATCAGATTATTCGTGTTATTTTCATTTTGGATGATAGAAGATTGTTGTTTTTCATTTGATTATAATATGACCTTATTAGAAATAAGTACTTATATTTATCAAGTTATTATTATTATCATTATTATTGCAAGCAAGTGGCTATCAGGACTCAGTAGTTAAGTGGATAATGTGATGATGTTTGAAATGAAGGATACAGGGTTCGAGTCTTAGAGTCAATATCAACTGTTAGATGTAGGCACGTGCAGCTGACCAGTGCCAAATAGGAGAAAACGCGCCTCCTGCATTCCACTGTTAACCACTATCCATGGTTGCTTAGAATGCTCGTGAAATAATGTGGTCTCGAGGCAATACGCACAGTATATGTCAATAAGCGACTGATCAATTGCAGTGCCAAATATCAATTGGAAGATTCAAGTGAACAATGCCAAGTGAATTTCAACTTCACCCCATTGCACAAACAAGTGGCTGTGAGGACTCAGTAATTAAGCGGATAACGTGATGACGTTTGAAGTGAAGGGTACAGGGTTCAAGTCTGAGAGTGAACATCAATAAGTCTGGAATGAAGGTATATCCAACTGACGAGTCCTAAATAAGGCGAAATGCATTTCCTAGATTTTACTGCTAACCACTATCCATCTTTACGTATAATGCTTGTGAGTTAAGGCAAAATCAAGGCAATATAAACAGTATGTACGTATTATTAGAAGGGGTTTTATGTAGATTTTAGAAATTTCACTGATTGAAATCATGAGTCAATTGAAGCTAGACCACCATGGAAAACCTGGAAGCACTGGACGGCCGTTTCATCCTAGTATGGGACTCCTCTGTAGTGCGCATCCACGATCCCGCATCCCGCGAGATTCGAATCTATCCAGTGCTTCCAGGTTTTCCATGGTGGTCTAGCTTCAATTGACTCATGATTTCAATCAGTATGTACATATTTCAATAAGAGATTAATCAATTGCAGTCCAACAAATCAATAGGAAGATTCAGCTAAACAACAATACCAAGTGAATTGTATACAGAGCTTCAGTCAGTTAATCAGTCAGCCAGCTACAATGTAGGACCAGGCAGTTCATACATTATACTCATAACAAAAAAGTCAAAGGCCGTATTACTCTATACATACTATTATTTTGTTCTAATGAAGTATAAAAGAAAAATATGACCCGTTATGCAATCTGTAACCCTTACGAAAAATGGTTTTATTTTGAGTTTTAATCCAATATGTTTTTTTTAAATTTTAAAACAAATAAACACAAGTCTCTATGAAATCATGAACTAATCAATGTTAGACCACGATTCTGTACGTGGATGGGATTTGAACCCAGCACCCTAGGTTTCATCTATGAACACTTAATATCTAGACAGATGAACCGGTGTCAATGTCAAATTTCAACCAATCCACGATGTCATACAACTGAGGTATCCCATACTAAAACAAACTGTTTGTCCAGTGCCTTCAAGTCTTCAATGGTGGTCTAACATTGATCGGTTCATGATTTTCATGAAATTCAACGATCTTTACAACACAAAACTGAAGACACAAGTAGATATTATTTCACGAGTAACAGTTTAACTTCCATATTTATCCCAATTATTATTTTCGCAAATTAATGTAACACACATTTCTAATTTTAGCAGTGATTTTCAGTGATTGTAGACAGTTGATAAGGAACCCTAAGCATTGGACTAGTTGGCTTTAATTAGCAAGGCATAATTCTAATATTGAAGGAATAATCAGTCGCCATAGGTTTGGAGATCATTTCACTTAGTTCTACAGTCTGGTACATTATAATTGAGCTACTTGGGTATATAACTAATATTCTCTAAGATAGAGATACCTATGTTAACTGGTCGTTAAGTAATGGACAATGTCGTGTCCGTCTAGCCACTAGTGATGTGCGTTCAAATTCTACTGAAAGCTGCAATCGCCCTAAGAATGTCGACAAAACTTTGTATGAAGCTTAGATTCAGCGGGATTTCCTGAAAACTACCTTCAACCGTCTAACATAGAAGCATAGTGCTTGTGATATCGAATCATTTTGAATCATCAAACAAAATAGAAATATCCCAGTACAGATAATCTTCTTTTCGAAGTTATCAATAACGAGAATTATACAATCGTTGAGATGAGATGATGGTTGAAAGTAGTCAACAAGAAACCCTGGACATTTAATCTTCAGGGAACTGACTGTCCATGACGGACTCGATTCCATGTCACAATCAGAGATGTTCACACTGGGCTATCAGGGCCGCGACCAACCTTCTGTAGGACTGAGATGTATTCACAATTGATTGGTCACTGGATGGTGATCAATGTCATGCTGAACAGATCCTTCATAGTGCGGATCAAATACTATCGACCAAGTTGTGATATGGCTACTAGTTTAGGTGACTTGGTTGATAGTAGTCGATCTTCACTAAGGCCCCCTGAATGCCCTGGTACGGCCGAGAGTGGGGAGAGTCCGCTCTCCCTCTCGAAATACTCTCACACGGCCACGCGTATATAGCCTCTGCCAGGGAAGTCCTACTCATTGCCTTCTCGTGGCGGGGGTGTTGTTTACGAAAATGAGAGGACGAAAAGCGAATGTCCGGCGATTTAACCGGATTCCAAACCAATGGTGCACATGGGCTCCAGTATCCTGCGGGAACGAATGGCGTATGAACCAATCGTTGGTCACCGGCTACCATGGGACTGCATCTCCTTACGATGCTCCACTGCCTTGTGGGTTAGACCTTTAGGTCAAAGGCTCGGGGAGTGGCCCCCTAAGATAACCACCTGCTTCGGTTTGGGCACCCGGGCAGTATCACAGCCCACACACAAATGATGAACGCTTTATGTCTATGGAAACTACTTTTGTCGCTTTGAAAAACAATCAATTGATTCAAATTATGATCACTACAATTATTGTCATTATTAATACTAATATTATTATTACTACTATTATTGTCATTATTGTTATTATTATCATTATTATTATTATTTTCCACATTATTCACCTTCTTTTATACTTATACAGCGGCTCGTCTTTGGTGGAATTCCGACTGTATCTAAACGTTCTCGAGTCACTGTCCGGTTGAAAATTGTATGTTACCACCGAATACGAGGACTGAAGCAGATTTTCTGAAACCACGTGCATCATTCAAACTGGCTGCCTTCAACGTTCGCACATTTATGCAGGTCGGACAACAGATAGGGCTGGCTATGTCTTTGGAAAGTCTTAATATCGACGTGTGTTGTCTATCCGAGACCCGTATTCAAGACTCTGGCGAAGTACTACAAATTCGATCTCCATCTGTCGCTTCGAAAAGCTTGTTTTACGTGCGCTTATCCGGGGACCCTGTGGCATCTTCGTCTGGTTTTGCTGGCGTTGGTGTCGCACTAAGCGCTAGAGCTGAGGCAGCACTAGTCGATTGGATCCCCATTAACAGTCGGTTATGTGCTGTTAGATTAGAAAGTTCCATCAAAGTGAGAAGATATCGGCGTGAGAAACGATGTCTTTTCGTCATCTCCGCCTATGCCCCGACAGATTGCAGCCCGGATGCAATCAAGGATGAGTTTTACCACCAGTTATCAGTTCTTCTCCAGAAAGTGCGTTCGACAGATATTGTAGTACTAGCCGGAGACTTGAATGCTCAGGTCGGGCGTCTAGGCACAGAAGAGAGTCGTTTAGGTGGCCGATGGGGACTCGTTGGTCGCAGGTCAGATAACGGGGACCGTCTACTGCAACTTTGCGCAGACCACAACCTGTTTCTGGCTAGCACTAACTTTCGGCACAGTCATCGCCGATGTGCCACCTGGCGTCCTCCCTCTGCATCTCAAGCCTGGACTCAGATTGATCACATCGCGATCAGCTACCGCTGGCGTGGTTGTGTACAAGACTGCCGCTCCTTTTGGAGTACCTATCTGGACTCTGACCATGCCTTGGTCTGCGCCAATCTTGCCTTACTTTTCAGTGGCCAACGAAGTGACCACCACCAACAGATTGATGTTAGCAAGCTGGTTGCAACTTCTGTTGCAAGTAAGTATCGAACCGAGCTAGCCTCTAGGCTAGCTACCACT